GATGCTTCTGGCTTGGTGTCATCTACATAGAAAGGGGTGACACGCGCCAGCCACTCCGTTCTCCCCTTCAGGCCCTGAATGTCAGAGTTAATTCTGCATTTGTTGGGGTGGGGGCGGCCATTGGTTATGTGGAGTACTGTGCAGCCAAGGGGCACAAGTGAGGTGATTCGGGTTCAGTGTCCTCGGGCTCAACTTTCCTCTTTCATCGCCCCCAGTGATGGAAGAGGGGGTGTTAAGTCTTCAGCCTGAGCCCCCTTTCCAGCCTCTTCTCTCGTTCCCCTCCTCCCTCCGCCCCTGGTTGACTAAGAAGAAGGTCTCTAGTAGCATCAGAACAATTCTAGGATTGCTTCACTTTTACACCTTGGGTCGCTGGGTAAAGCGCACACCCATCCTCTCCTGGGAGAAGCCCCAGGTCTGGGGATCTGGGGGGCGGGGGGGGGACAGGGTCGGGTGGAGCGCGTCTTCCCGCTCCCAGCGCCTCCTGTGCACACGTCGGTAACCTAGCAATGCCCGGAGAGTCGCTACCGCTGTGGGGCTGGCTCTGCAACTCAGCCCTGGCCACGGCACCACGTGCAGTTTCCACACCAGCGTGGCCAGAGCTCGAGAGGCTGGGGCTAGTTTTTGGCCAGGCTCCCTCTTTGGAGGTCGTTGGCATCTTCCAGCCCTGTGAGCCCTTCTCAAAGGAAAAGCTTGGCAAGACTAGTCCCTGAGCTCAGACTGTGCGCTGCCTGCCTGCTTTGCTTCTGTCTCAGGCTTGCAGGGCAGGAGACCTATGCTTGCTTTGACTCTTTACTTAGTGATAATTGGTTTTGCAAACGCCCATCCCTCCAACCTCTCTGCCACCGCTCTCACTTTGACATCTGCTTCAGCAGAGGCCACGGTGGCCCAATGTGGGCACCTGTGAGACCTTCCAAGGAATGGCCAGACCCACAGTGAGGGGAGCTTCACACATGGAGAGGCCCCTTGGGTGTTTTGCCTTGTGTGTACCTGGATGCTACTCTACACTGAGCTAATTTTTGCATAGGCCTTGAAGTTCCCTGGCATAATGCATCCTGTCTCTTAGGTGTAGGGGTGCAGGCTGGCTGGATGTTGGCTGGCTGTTGCTGCTGCAATTTAAAATGCAAAGAAGCCCTAAAGATGTTTTTCTGTTTTCGGAAGCTTGTGGAGGAAATGAGTCCCAAGCATCATGAATTTTCATTTGCAGGAAGTGTTAGTGCATAATCTCAGTATTTGTTATGGGGCTTTTGGTATTGCCTGGTGCCAGTGAAGACTTTTTTTCCATGTAGAAAAAAAAATGCATTTGTGGCTGTGGAAAGCTGTTGGAGGAACACCCTAAAAGTGGTTAAGACTATTGAATTATTGGCAGTGTGTGAGTGAGTGGTGTGTATGTGTGTGTTTGTATGTTAGCGGTAGCTAATTTTAGAGAGAGGCAGTTGTGCTCATCTGTTAAGCCATGAGAGATACATGCGTTTTCAAAGTGAGAGAAGACACAGGATAAATGTAAGAATAGCCCCCGTTTGTCAGAAGAGGTGCAGAAAGACATCCCCCCTGGAGACATGAATGGATGAGTATTAATGTGTTGGGTGTGGTGCGGCGATGACCCTGCATGAGTGACACTCAGCTCTGGGGACTTCCCTTGCCCTGCCTGGCCAAACCCAGCTACCTGTGAAAAATAGGACACGAGGTTCAAAACGGACACACAGTAACGATTCCTTTTATTATTGATGAGAGACACCTTTGCTTTTTAAAAAGATAGTATAGATTGAATTATATTTTTTTTTTTCTAAATAATCTCTTCTCTCCTTCTCCTCAGAGGCAAACTATGCAAGAGGCACCAGACTCCCTATTTCTGGTGAAGGACCAACTTCTCAGCAGAACAGCTCCAAGCAAACTGTCCTGTCTTGGCAAGCTGCAATCGATGCTGCTAGACAGGCCAAGGCCGCCCAGACCATGAGCACCTCCGCACCCCCACCTGTAGGATCTCTCTCCCAAAGAAAACGGCAGCAATACGCCAAGAGCAAAAAACAGGGTAACTTGTCCAACAGCCGACCTGCCCGTGCCCTCTTCTGCTTATCGCTCAATAACCCCATCCGAAGAGCCTGCATTAGTATAGTGGAATGGAAGTATCCTTTTCCTGTGGGAAGCCCTTCTCATTTACCATCTGTGCTTCGAAAGGCTCTGCTTTCTGCAGCGACACTTCCCAGAGCCTCATCAGTCTGGAATGTGAGCAGTAGAAGAAGCTGTAGGCAAGGGGTTCCTCTCACGGGCTTCGGCTTCCTATCTCCTCAGCGTGCAGAGGGTGGCTCTGTGGGTATATTCAGCCTTGACGAGTGTGCGCGTGCGTGCATGCGTGTGCTTAGTGCTGGGGGAAGGGAGTCAAGACTGAAATTTCGAAGGGGTAGGGAATTAAAATATGAAAGTGACCTTTGGTCATGGGATACTGGATAGTTTTAAAGGTGTTACTGTTATTGGGGTAGTTGTATGCATTTAACTTGTTGACAATTTGGAATGCTAATTTAAAAAAAAAAAAGATGGAGACTATCTTCAGTCTGTACTGGAAGTGACTTTTAGTGGAATCTTCTGGTTCCAGTGACTAAAATTTGCCTCTGCAGCCATGGTGAATGCTATGGTTGCTTCTGGCTCTTCTAGTTGGCCATCCTAATTGATCAGATAGCTGCAAAAATGAACATTTGCTTCATAGGGAGGAGTTACTTTTGTTATTATTATTATTTTTTATTATTGGCTGATCAATGCTCTGACTTCCTGGAATTCCCTTTTGCTGGGCTCAAAAAAAAAAAAAAAAGCTGCATAGCCACGTGTGTACAGAAGCAAGCCATGCAGGAGAGGCTGAAGCCCTCCAAGCCCGGGAGTGGCAAAGCAGCACTTCCCGGGGAGGCAGGGGCAGGTGCTGCACAGAGTGTATATACCCAGCTAGGCCCTTGGGCTAACGACACTTCCAAGTGTCTCTGTATTTGTAAAACTGAACTTTGATTTCTCCCAAGATGGTTACCATGCCCCAGATCCTGGAAAACAACATTGCTTCTACCTGCCTATTCCTTTCCCCAGCTCTGGGCGCCAGGCTCCAGTGACTGCTTCCCCCTAGAAAAGTTGACTGAAGCCTTCTCTCAAGCCCAAGCTTTCTGATTAATCATACGCTTCTTCGGTGTGGGTGAAATAAAGCATTTTCTTTTCCCAGAAGGGTGTTTGGGGCCAACAGGCCCTCTGAGTATTTCCTGGCAGCAGACAGGGGTGTGTGCAGGGAGCTTTCCTGACCAGGCTCAGGAAAGGGAGAAGCTATGTTGTAAGATTGCTGGGTGACAGCTAGAAAGTGGGGCTGAAGACCCCTAAAAACCTAGGTTCTCCACACAGCCACAGCCTGCATGATCTCACGTATCTTAGCTCACGTATTTTGTCTGCTCGTGGACAGGAGTTAAAATGAAGCAACTGTCTAGAACGGTTTTTGGAGAGAGCAGCTGAGTGCCAGGGCAGGATTTGAAGGTTTTCACGTGCTTTTTCTTTTTAGCACAGATGTCTCTCCTCTCCAGTGAGAGGAGTCTCTCACATGCTTGGGGCTGTGTGTGTGCATTTTCTCTTTAAATTCTCTAGTCTAAGACAGAACTCTCATATAGGCCAAGAGGGGGCTGCTACGTTAGGGTATGCTTCTATGGTCTTCCTGGAGTCTAGAGGCAGCAGCTGCACTTCCTGAAAACACGTCTTTTTCCCCCGAGGTTGGTATGAGGTAATTCAGAATAAGCAGAGACCTCTCGGCGGGGTCATTCCTTTTATGTGGAATGAGGTGCTGCTTCTCTTAGTGCGTAGTGGTTTGTACATGGAAGTTCATGTATAGTCACTGGACTCCAGCATCTCATCACTAGCTCCCTTTCTTGAGTTGCCAGATGCAAGTATGTGTATATGGATTAAGGCGACATATTGCCAGTGAAGGATGCCTGTGTGGGACAATTTCTATAGCAGGTAGATAGGAAATGATGCCCTCTATTTCAAGGAACATCCTCCTTCAGCAGCTCAGTCAGGCCAGGTAGCCCTGGGAGAGGCCAGTCTGCTTTTATAGGCTGGCGAGGGGTGGTGGCCAGATGTTCTTATGAGAAGCAGCTGTTGGCTCAAACCCTCCCGTTTCTTGTAGTGGTAAGATAGCATCCTCGCCTGTCTGTCCACAGAAACTGAGCACTGCCAAGAAGGAAACACCACAAAGTCTTATGGTCAGCCTTTTTGAACAGTGTTAACAGTTCTCAGATCTGCAGCTTTATTGTTTAGGTATTTATTGAGAAACAGGAAGAAAGACAGTGTGGGGTAGAGTAAGCCCAAGGTGTGTTTTTATGGGGAGTGACTTCAGGGCTGCTGATGTAAAGTGTCAGAAGGGGCCTGCTAAGGGAGAAAAAAAAAATTCTGAAGTCTTCCTGAAGTCAGATCCCTGGGTAAAAGATTTTATAACTGAGTTGAGAAATCAATATGATTAAAGCTAACTGGCTTAAAAATAAACCCATCAAAGTTAGTAAGAGGATAATGCTATTCCTGTCCTCATTCCAGTGAGTTACCCAAGCTCTTCAAAGGGTGAGGCTTTATAGAACCCAAAGTACCCATCTCCAGAGAGGCAAGGGGTAGTTGTTTCTTTTGTCACTTTGGGGGCTCCCAGAAGGCCATCGACAGGCGACTGTTCCTGTCTGTCAATCTTTAGCACCTAGAGGAATTTAGTAACTGCTGCTGCCTTGCCTCTTGTGGGCGAGTGTTATATCTAAGCACTGTTGAAATTCAATCCCAGGAATTGCAGACTAGGTCAGTGTTCAACAACAATTGCAGACTAGGTCAGTTTAGAAAAGGCTGAAAAACAGGCATTTGGGCAGAAGTCAGACTTGGTGTTGTTGCTGGTTTTGACAGCACCTCTTCCTAACTTACTGTTTAAGCAAGTATCTGTTGAAGGCTCATCTCAAAGTGACTCTTCCAGACAGCCCTCCGAGATTTTAAATGGATAGAACCTGTTTTGAAAGTGTCCGGTGCTGATTTCTTGTGGCTTTTAAATTTAATTTGTTTATAAATTGAACACAGAAACAGCACATTATGAAGTGAGTGCAGCCCAACTAATCTGAAACAGTTACAGCTATTGATTATTCTGGTAGAGATGGCTGAGGAGGGAGCTGGCAGCCTGATTATCACAGCATCCGAGGTGCTGGGACATGTCACACAGGGTTACAGGGAGGGTGACGGTGGTGCCCTGGCTTTGCCCGGACTGCTCTCCATCAGGAGTTTAGCCAGCCTCTGAGAAAACAGCTCTAACATGGTGGCAAGGATCCCTGGGAGAGGTCTATGCCATTGATGGTTACCTTTCTGTGTCTGTGACAGCTGAGTTTAGTAAGAGCCTTGTCACTTTTTAAGGTACAGAAAGTACAGACCTGCTTCGTACAGTGACCTACCTGGATGCTCATTACTTCCAGGTTTTAATAACAAAAGAATGAGTGTAACGGGAGCCTTGCAGTAGAGAAGAAGGCTGAGGAGAGGTCACAGGCTAGGACAACCTGCTGTGAGGGGACCAGAGAAAGTTACTTCTGCTGAAAACCCAGCATAGCCAGCATAGCCACAGAAGGCTGTGTGTGTGTTCAGGGGGATGGGTGCTAGGTGGTGGGTGGGTGATTTTTATTTTAAAAGCAGCTCAGGTGTGAAGTACTTGAGAGTGTGATGAAAGGGAGAGCCACTGTTTACGTAACACATATGTGCCTTAACAAAACCTTTCAGACCATTTGACATATTTATATTATTGGCTATTTTTGCCAATTGTGTGGCCTTAGCTGTTTACATCCCGTTCCCTGAGGATGATTCTAATTCAACAAATCATAACTTGGTAAGTGTCTTAGAGTCCCTGCTTCGTGCTGGCACATGGGAATCTTCTGCCTTTGTGCATAGGGTGGCAGCCGGCTTTGGGGATGGCGGAGTTTGCAACTATGTATGCTGTGTTTCCCAAAGCCGTGTAACAGTGGGGTTGTGTTGTTGCTACTACTTTTTGTTTTATTTTATTTTAAGATCTGACTTGAATTCTTAGATTTATGCTGAATGAAAGTGTTCAAAAGTCATGAGTCTTATATAAATAGAGATGGAACTTTCATGGAAGAAATTTGTAGAAGGGTTTTAAAATGTTTTTTTCTCTCTATCTAGGCTTTTGGTGTATAATATTAGCTTTTTTTTGTTTAATCCAGTGTTATTTAGTGGATACTGTGGTTAATTTCTCTGGTAAATAAGAATCATGATGGATTTTGTACGTGAGATACTAATTTTTATAGATGTAGACCGAAACAAATCTAATTGTCTAGGGTACAGTGTGGTGTAAATCAGAACAACCATGGAGTTTACACCCCTCAGCCTCCAAAAATGCTTCAAGTCGAGTTTCGAGCGCATCTGTGGTTAAATGCTCCAGGACGCTGTCGTATGCTTTATTGCCCTCTTAAACATTTATAGTGTGCATGAGCTGAGAAAAATCTCTGGGAAGTTGTGCAGCTAAAAAGCAGATTTCCTTTTGTTTAACTCAGCTAGTCACTGAAAGTAATTGGTTATGGATTCTTCAAACAGTTTTTTTTTTTTTTTTTTTTGTAGAAGACTTTTTAATATCATGGAACTAGTGTTTCATGGAACCTCCTTTGGGAAGAGTGGATAGAGTTTTAAAAAGAAAGACACTGGAAAACTTTGGACTGGAATTTGGGGCTCTTCCCATTCAGCTGCCACTGGGGTGTGTTGGGTGGCATGTGTCACACCCTTTCCACATTGCCATTCACCCCGCCCCCCACAGTTAAGGAGACTGGCTAACATCACCAGGATTATTTAAAAACGTCTGACATTCTGTTGTCTTTCTTCTGTGGTGCAGAAGCCCTGTCAGTCTGTTTTGGCCTTGCAGCACCCTTGCAAGGGCTAATTCTTTACCCCATAAGCCATGCTGGATGGTAGATGAAGGAGGGAGCCGGAGCTGGGGAGCAAGGAGCTGGGTCCCCCATGCTCTCTTCTTTGAGTTGGTTCTGCTTGCCTTGGCGTTTTGTGTGGAAGCCATGCGTTTTTAACCAAGCAGAGGCTGCAAGGCAAATGCTCTACGCACTAGGCTCTCCCTAGTCACTCAGAGTTTGGCTGGCAGCCCGAGGTGAAGCTATGCTTTTATGAATCTGGCTTTCATGGTTTATGTTCAGGATTTCTTGTGACATTTTAAATGCTGTGTGTATTTCAGGTATAACATGATGTCTGTTTGTATTTGGGTTTTTCGCAGTTTGCTTTCTAAAGAATTAAAAATTTTGGCTGTTACTCATGAAAACTATGGTCTAATAGGAGTTCAACACACACACACACACACACACACACACACACACACACACACACACA